AATTTACTTATTGAAAGCAAAAATGTCCAAGATGAAACATTTATCTTATTGATTTCATGTATATGAGTGTCTATGACAATTCTTTGTGGAACTGAAAATGTTATTGTCTCTTACTTCTAAGCCAATATAGTGAATTTTAAAGCTTTATTGATAGTAAATTCAGTGATCGAAAGTTTAGTGATTTAAATCATTCTAACTACTTTTTGTTTTGAATGGATTGTTGTCACTATTTTCACATTTTGAATGAATTGCTTCTTTATTTTTGTGTATGGTTAATAACCGAATAACCGATCGAACCAAACCAAATCGAAACCGATAACCACCAAACCGATAAATGTATATTATATTTGGTTTGGTTTTGATAATTTTAAAACCGATTAAGTTGGTTTGATTTTGATTTAATTTGACCAATAACCGATCCAAACCGACCCGTGAACACCCCTAACCGTAACAGTAGTACTTCAAGTACAACTATTGGTTTTTCCAAGGCATGACATACTAATTACTGCCTCTATCCACTTTTAATTGTCATAGTTTCATTTTTTTGAGTCAAACTATAAAAATTTTGACTAACATTTTATGATGTATTTTTTCATCATATTGACATGCAAAAATATTGCAATTTAATTACTTTTCGTATAGTTTTTGAATATCTAAATTTTTATTTATAGTATTGAACTAATGTAAATTATGAAAATTATAGTTAAACTGACTTTCAAAAAATGTAACATGACAAATAAAAGTGGACGGTGGGGTACATAATTAGGATTCCAAAAGGTACGCGTTTCATAAGGTCAAATACTATTATTAAGCTATTTGAATTAATCAACTAAGAGAAGTGGAAAAGTCATATATATAGTAAAATTAAAGGATTTATTCAGACACATGTTTTTATGTGTCAAATAAATGTAATATTACTTTCTTATAATTATTTTCATTTTTTAACTTTTGACTTCATAATTTCTTATGACATTTAAAATTTAGTATAATAATAATAATTAATATAATACAACTAATTAATAAAAGGAGATCGGTAAAAATTGAAAAGGCTACAATTAATAAATAGAATAAGATAAATTTACAAATAAGATGAAAAGACTATATAATATAATTGATGAGTAGATTGACTAAAAACGACATTAAGTTTACAACTAATTATATAATATATAATATAAGAAGTAGAAAGAAAATAATCAGAAGAAGAACAAGAACCGTATAGTAGTAAAACCCTAACAGAGCTTCAAATCCTGCAAAATAGAACAAATTAACTGACCAATTCTTCCTCAAATCCCGTAAACGAAGGATGCACTACTTCACGTCTCTTCATCATGCTCCCAAAATTCTAACTATTTATTCCAGTCTACAGAAGCTTGAAATCACAAATCTACTTCCTTCTTCAGTTAAGGTAAGAAGTTCTCTAAACCTAATTCATTTATATAAAGAGGTATTGTTGAAAAACTAGTTTTTCATATGTTTTTGTTAGATATGAGAAAGAAATTCACACAGAATCAGTATTTTTTCTTGAAGATACCCTGCTTTTCTTAAAGCTTGAGATTGAAACTTGTTATTTTGTTCATCAGAAAGAAGTTGGAAGCATTTTGGGATTTTCTCTGTATGCTGCGAAATCGAAGACAAGCTAGTGAGAAAGTCAGAAGTTTGCCAGGTGCACCTCTGTTTATGTAATGCAATTTTTTTAATTGTGTTTTACATTTCCTTAAAGATCTGGTGCAAGCATCACCTTCTTCTCAAGGTGACTCTTTTAGCTTCACAAGTTGCTTTCTTGAACTTTTGCTTCAATTTACCATTTTAGTTTTAGATGTTGTTTCGTTGCAATTGGTGATAGTTTCATGTTCAGCTTTATGTGGTTACTGTTATGTTATAGTTTTTTTTTTCCAAATCTTTTATGATGTTTAGAGGGTTACTGTCATGTTATGGTTTTTTTTTTCCAAATCCCTTATGATGTTTAGAGCATATCATATCTACAAAAGGTATATAGATGCTTGTGAGTTGATGGGTTTAATGTGCCTTCAACTTTTCGATGGAAATATGTTAAAGAAGGAAACAACTACAGGACTCGTCTTATTCAAGTATATATGATAGACACTTTGGCTGATGACTCAGATGACTCTAGTGCCTCCACGAGTGATAATCTGTGATTTGTCCAAGCTGTTTCAGCCCACTGCTTCATTTTTTCACCTTCTGCTTTTCTGTTTTGTTGCACGATAAGTGTCTCTGCATACCCACCTTATACTTCCAAGGGTGGAGCTTTGAGCACTTCAATTGCTCTTCTATGGAGTCCCTCTTGAATCAAAAGCGATTTTGTGGCTGATTTTGTGTTGGACTTGGGTGACTAAATAGTGTTAGTATGTATAATGCACGTGCTTCTATATTATTTTTTTCATCC